ATAGCCACTCAGACGTCCTTGGTCCACAACAGTCACTAGCTTGGTAAGTTTTCACTCCATGGTTTTATTGAACCAAGCAGGACACATTTAGTGCAGCTTCTGAGGAGTGATGAACCCCAGTGGGAGCACAGGTAATAAGCACGTTAAATTGCTTGTGAATTCAAACAGAAAGCTTCAATCTCTGGGTATTTCCTTTGAAAAAAGACTTTGCAAGGGAGCCTATCAATTTCTGTATTTTTCCCCTCCCTCTAATTCTTTACCTCTCCTCCAAATGCAAATACCTGGTCTTCTAAAACAGAGGCTAAAATTAATAATGAGTACAATAAATACAGAAAAGTTCCTTCCCCAAATGTTTGTATTTCATCCCCAATTGTGACCTTTCTGATAAAACCTGGAAGATCTGGTTCTGAAAAAAAGATAATTAAGGTTTTGGAGCATGCCATTAGCACAAGACAAGGAAAATGGAATTAAATAAGGCCATAAGACATAACAAACTGTATTTTATCTTTTTAAAAAGGTGAAAAAGCTTTTTTTTTGGTTGGTGACATTTTTGGTAATTGCCCCAAAAGAGCACTATTTCAAAGTTTCCTAATAAAACTGGTTGTCTCTCATCTAACCTCCCCCCACTTCCCAGTAAGTAATTCCTGATATGGTCCTGAGTTAGTGGTTCCAGCCTCTTATAAATAGAAAGATAATTTTTGAAAGGAGAAGATGGAATATTTGGGTGATATCACCAAGTTCTGGAATTTCAGCTACTAAGTCTACTTTGATGAGCAAAAATTTTGAACATACAAGTTAAAAGGACCCTACCCTACCCCTTTTCTTATGGTACATAATCTCCAGCTCTGGTGCTGTTAACTTGGACAGCCAGTTAACTAAGGATCATGAGCTCTCTCTCTGGGATTTTGCTCAAGTATTTGTGAGTCTATGTCTGCAAAATATGATCCCCTCCATTCCTTAGAGAATCACTTTGAGGAAAGAGTTGGTGATATAACAGACATGGCATAGCCTAGCAGGTATTCAATAAATAATTGTTCAATTGATCTGTTTATTCAATTTTCACGAAGGACTCCTGGGCTTTGTATTTTGCACGTTGTAAGAAAAAGGCATGGGGAGCTAGAAGGGTGAGCAGTGTGATCCTTCCTACACCTCTATTTACCTGTAATTAGATTTTCTTCCTGTGTTTCCTCTTAAGCTGTGTCTGTCACTACCATGGCACTCAGTTGGAAGGTAGCTTGACCCTGTCTTCTCACTAAATTGACTGAAGTAACACTTGTTTTGGAGGCTTGCATTTCAGCTTCCCTCTGTGCTACAGATGGCCCTCTGCTCCATGTGTCCCTGTTAGGGGGTTGGGGAAGCACTGTGCTCTCACTCCTGCCTTGTCTTCAATCTGATGGTTCCAGCACATTCTAAAATAGCCACACACTGATACAACCTTGTTTGTGAATACTTTATGACCAGCCACGTATACAAGTGGCAACCAATGTTTTTCCCAGGGTGGAGAGGAATGAGGTATCCACAGAGGCCCCAGGAGTGTTTCTTGAACTGAGCTACACCTTTCCTCTGGGGCTCATGGGTCCGGAGGGTGGAATTAGGGATTGTATTCCCTTATTATAAGAGCAGAAATGATCTCTCGAGACTTGTGGGGTCTTAGGGAAGGGTGGGATCTAATGACTCAAGTTCTGGGCTGGATCTTAGAGTAAGTTTCTCATGGAAACAACACTGTAAGGGGAGCAGTTAGGCAGCTTGGCTGGCTACAAGGTGGGGTTAGTAGGAATTTGTGGGCTTGCTTGAGGTCCTGGCCACCTTTTGTGACATAGTTTGAATGGGAAAATGGAATCTGAATTCCGAATAACTTACAGCCACACTTTTTATTATTATCTAGTTTGCAAATTTGGAATTGCTTACCCTCTTAGATTTAGGATTCCTTGCCTAGCCTTGCATTATGATAATCACTGGGTAAAGCAGGGATCATACCATCCCATCCCTGAACGAACAGGCTGCCTCTGCCACAGCCAGTTGCTCCCCAGCTTCACTCCTGATATCATCTCAGATATGAAGGGGTGCACCCCAGTAGGAAGCTAGGCCCAGCCTGGGGCTGCCTGACAAGGCCTGTGAGCACTGGCTGGATCTCCAGCCCCCCAGTGGTTGCAGCCCTTTGCTCTGCTCACAGAGCTGGAGCATATCGTCCGTTTGCTTAGCCCAGCCAGAGTTTGGCCTGTGCTCGACACAGAGGCCTAACAGCCAAATCCTAATAAGCGCGGCTTGTCTTTTGCATAAAACAAGGAGGCTGCTTGTTTGAAGTGATTTGAAAGGTACTGACAAGCTCCTACTCTGCCTCCTAAATCTTTCTTTTGACTGAAATTCCATCATTTTTAAGCCACAATATAGCATGCTGAGATTTTCTGTTAATTCTTTCCCTCTCCATCTGGACCCGTTACAAGATGCAAACATACTATGTGATTCTGGTCCCACCACATCCTAACTGCATGGTCACTGTGCTTCATTTTTCTCAACTGTAAAATGTGGATTATTAATAAGAGTACCGCATTTATAGATTGCTATGAAGATGAAATGAGTTAGTATGTGTAACTTAGAACAGCTAGCAGTCTGTTTTCTGTTATTATTAAGTCTTCAATTTGAGCATGAAGGAACACATAGGAGGGTTTAGGGGGAAACCCAATAGGGTATGTGCTCATGAAGGCCAGATAGCTAGAAAATGGTTCACCCTTGTGCTAAATTTTACAAATACTCCATCACCCCCAAAAGGAATCCCTCCCTTGACAACAGCCATTCCTAAAACTGGAAATGGTCTGGGGCTGATAAGCCTTTTCTCTAGCTATTTTTATCTAAATCAAACAATGTCTTCCATGTCTCTTCTCAATTCAAATATCTACGTCCAAAAAAACAAAAAAAAAGAAAACAAAGAAAGAGAAAAAAAAAAAAGGCACTTGTTATTCAAATGGAGCCAACTGGAACCCTGTTTGTTCATACCTTAATTTATTATAATACTTATAATAACAAATTCTTAGATTGCCATTATTTTTGAAAGATGAAAGAAGATTCAGTTAAGAACATGCACCACCACTAACCTCCTTCCTGAGTTAATATCATATCTACTTATTAAATATATCCACTTATAATTTTCCATTACCTTGATAAATAAAAAGCACAGTGCACTGAGGTTTTAATAACTTGAGAGGAAAGTGACTGGTATTAAATATTATCATCCTATATCTGTGTATATTCACATAATAAACTTTTGCACATAGACACAAGTGTAAAATGTCTTAATACAGCACACTTTGATATTACAAAGACAGTGAATGTGACTTACCTGGGAACTTAACAGAAGGAATTAGAAACATTTTTCTTCTTCATGCTTCTTTATTAAGATCTACCCACCTAACAGCCATGGGAACATTTATAACTAAGGAAACATTTTTCATTTCACTGCTACAGATATTAAAAAAAAACCCAAAATTTTATAGCCTTGTTTAAGATTTCTTTCCAAAAGCCTAGCAAAGTATGTTTTGGAATACCTGGACCTCCGAGTGGAGGTTTAGCAATTTTCATTATTGCTTCTAAACCTGCATTTATAAATGATGAATGTATGTGTACACAGGAAAGCTGATCCTATGGCTCTGTACACTGACCAGGGGAAACAATATTTTCCAGGTGTTTACAACAGCCACAGTCTACACTGAATTACTTTATCATCTCGTGTGGCTGACGTGTTAGCTAGTTCATCAGCTAGCTGACTGTGGCAGAGTCAGAGAAAATGGCTCTAGGAAAAATAATTGGCCCTTAGCAGAAGAACAGCACCTCGATATTTTAGATTTCTACTCATCCACTCAAATAAGCAATTTAAAAACGTTTCTATAAAGGACATGTCTATCAAGTAATTGGTTCGAATTTAGGAAGGTTGAGCACTTTCTTCCGTTTCACTTTAGGGTCTAGACAATGTGAGAACTAGATGTAGGGGCCAGAAGGAGGCACAGCATCAGCTTTAATGCTCAGGTTACAGGGATGCCTAGTTGGGCTGGCAGCAAACGTGTGGTTTCCCGTTCCTTTCCCCCAGAACTGGATTGGTTCACTCAATTGTTGGCCCAGCAGATGGAGCTCTGCCAGTCTCACATTGGGATTGTGTTAGTTAGGGTCCTCCAAGAAGCAGACCCAAAGATGGGATTAGAAGTACAAAACACTAATTGGGGAAAATGCTTGTAAGGAAAATTGGAGGGTTGTCGGATAGTGATGCGGGTGAAGGATAGTGGGACAGAGGGCTGGGCGAAAGTATCTTAGATCTCAGTGCTGTTCTAAAGAAAATTCTCCAGCCAAAGTCCCTCCCAGAGGAGACTGATGTGTCCCAGTAGCAGCTGCTTTAGGATCCTGTGGCACTCAGCCAGTGGCCAAAAGCAGCTCGGGAAGTCTGACCTCAGGGTGGTGGTGGGCGGGATTCAGGACAAAGCAGCTGGAGCCAGCTTTCAGTTACCCTCCCAGCAGGAAACTGAGCCGAGAGGCGTGTTCTCCCGGCTGCCAGGGCGATCAAAGGCTCCTCCAACACCTTCCTTTCAGGGCCCAGAGAATATGCCCCTGAACCTCCAGCAAATTGGAGGAATGAGCTCACGAACAACCTTCTTCCCTAGTAATGAGTTGGGCGTTCCAGGAGCCACACACAGCAACTGATCTTATTGTTTATAGTCACTCTTAATGTGTACATACAGGCATAGATTTGTCACTGTATATTCTCAGGGTTAATCAGCTAAATAACAATTAACAAGTATGCTCGTGCACTTCTGTACCAAGTGCTGGAGGAGCCACAAAAAGGTATAGAATGTGGTCCTGCCCTGCAGCTGCAGCAAAATAAAACCACAGTATGACAGGAAAGTTAAAATACTTTCCAAAGCAGGAGGGGACAGCTAGGCTTCCTCTTTGGCTCCATCTTAGCCCACTCTCATTCAAAAAGGTTTTGCTTTATATCAGTTTCAGTTTGTTTATGCTTTGCAGAGATGTCATTGGAACAAAGGCTGGCAGTCACTGCACCCCAAACAACAACAACAAAATTGAAAACTCCTAGACTAAGTTATTGTTAGAGCCAGCCGTGCACTAACATTCTGCAAATCTCTGCTGTTCAGGCACATTATGATCATATGATACCAAATTAAACTTGATCTGGCAAGTTGCTTGTATTGGAAACACGAATCCTTTCAACTAGTGGTAATTTTTATTAGTAATCAGACACGAAACAGTACTCTAGTGTTTTCTAAGTCACGTGGAAATTACTTGTTTTCTTCTTCCAACTTTATTCCACATTCCTCTACAAACTTCAGGAGATCTTCTTGAAACTCTGAGGGTGTCTCAACAGCACAAGAAAAAAATCGCTGTGCTAGACTTACACTCTGACATTATTCTTGCTTTACTTTTTTTCATGTCCATGACCCAGAGAGACCAAATGTCTTTTTAGGTGAGTTGAATCTCTCTTCTTTCTTTTCTTTCTCTCCAGGGTGCTCCTCCCACCTCGGATGAGGAGAAGAAGCCAATTCCAGGAGCGAAGAAACTTCCAGGACCTGCGGTCAACTTATCGGAGATCCAGAATATTAAAAGTGAACTGAAATATGTCCCCAAAGCTGAACAGTAGTTGGAAGAACAAAGGTGAGTGAAAAACTATTTCCTTCGTCTACTTCATCCAACATGACTGGATCCCACCATGCACAGTCTATTGCATTTTTAAGCAGAAGTTTAAGTTTAGAGGGAAAGAATATATACTGGGAACATAGAACAGGTATTCATCTGGCTGCTTGTCCATCGTTTGTTTTTTCATCCACTCACTCACTGAACCAATATTTATTGATCATCTGCTCCGTGCTGAACACTGAAAACAGTTATTGATCATTTACCATGTGCCGGGTACTGTGTGAAGAGCATTATAACCACTGTTTGTTAAGCCTCATGATACCCAGTTATTGCTCCCATTCTTGAGTTGAGTCTTAGAGAGACTGATTTTCCTCATCTATCATGCATCCTAAAAAGGGGGCCTGACTTCAAAGTAGTGCTGTCACCTACTTGTTATACTGCGCGCCCCTTTCTTCCACTGCACCTTACAGAAGGACTGCGCGCTCCCTTTGGGTGTCAGGGGGCCGGACTCTGACCATGTGGATAGTGAAGGCAAGCACGGCAGTGGGGCCTGTCATGCCTTCTCCCGCAGACATAATGAAGAACAGAATGCCCTGTGGGACAACCCCATGAATAATGGCAGTGTTTCCTGGGCCATGCGTATGCAGACGTACTAGGATATTTGCAAGGCAGTTCTACTGAAAGGATTTCTTTATAGTGCAGGGAAAGAGGGAAGCCATTTAAAGTTAAAAGAGCAAAACAGTATCTAGTATTTTCAACACAGTTGCATAAAAGAACAAAGGGGTAAGAACAAAACACAGTGGATTTTATGACCACAGAACTAAGGCCAGGAACCTGGACAAGAACAAAGTGACACCAGCAGGAACTGACCCGCAGCGTGGCTACACACACTGGTTACTATTTATGACAGAATGCAGCCAACTGGTGCCTGAGCATCATTACACGCAGTCCTGCTTGTGCTGCCACGCTGAGCTGAAATATTCCAATGTGCTCGGGATGAGGCTGCAGAGCTTTCTTGTGAGAGAGCCCAGAGAAGGGAAATTAACTTTTTGTAATATTTATTATCATCACCCGACCAAGGCTTTTCAGTTAGACACATGAATTTTTAATGCAAACTTTAAAGGGTTTTGCTTTTATGAAATCCATGTCAACCTAAATTTAACTCCAGTTCGAGTTTCAGAAGAACTTGGTTTTGAAGATTCAAAGGAATGCTGTTTTCAGATTAGCTCCAAAGTGATCTTGTAGTGTTATCCGGCAGTGAGGTTGATTTCATAGCCTTGGATCTATGGTTACAGTAACAGGGAACACTATCAACTCGATGAAATATCATAAATGTTGCAGACTAACCAGAACAAAATTTTTTTTTGTTACTTGATTTTCTCAGAGAGGAATTTAATGATTCTTGTCTCCTGAACAGATTCTAATAATGCCGATTTGTCCTTCTACAGGAATGTGAAAACCTAAGTTGTCAGGGTAATTGACCTGAATGCAAAATGAGTACAGCATTGTTTTAAGCCAAGGAATGATTTTTATTTCTTCTAGGAGACGTATTAAGCTGGCTTGCCTCTGACTCATCAATTCTTCTCCAGCAAATAAGTCATATTTTGAGACTTTCATGGTCATGGTTTGTGGTTAGAGAGGGAGAGCATTTCTTAACATTGAATAATTCCGTGGACTCATAAGCAATATATACCCTGGACCAGACATCATTTAGCCCTTCACTGGTTGGATTGATTTCCCCCTTCTTGGGCCACCACTTTGTCACCTATCCTCACCATGTATTGTTCAATGATTTGATCAAATAGATTGTTCACTGTCTGAAGATTGAGTGAATAAGTCCACAGTGCCAAACACTGTGAAAACCATAAGACCCAAGGCTGAAAGTCCAGATTATTACTATTACAGTGCTTTGGACATGTAAGATGGAGCAGCATCTGCTTCCAGTGAGAAATAGACAGTTCAAAAATAATAGCAGGAGACTTCAATACCCCATTTTCAACAACTGATAGAATAACTATACAGAAAATCAACAAGGAAATTCTCTTAGTCTGTTTGGGAAGCTGTAAGAGAATACCATCTACTGGGTGGCTTATAAAGAACAGAAATTTATTTCTCACAGTTTCAGAGGTTGGGAAGTCCAAGACCAAGGCTCTGGCAGATTCGGTGTCTGGTGAGAACCTGCTTCTTGGCTCATAGATGGCCACCTTCTCATTATGTCCTCACATGGTGGAAGGGGCATGGGAGATTTCTGGGGTCTCCTTTATAAAAGCTCCTCATGACCTAAACAACTCCTGAAGGCCCCACCTCCAAGTACCATCACACTGGGGGTTAGGCCTCAAGGTATGAATTTCGGGGGGGGGATAAACATTCAGTTTATAGCTGAAATAGAATCCAACAACAGTGGAGTACATGTTCTTCTCAAGTGCACATGGCACATTGTCCAGGACAGGCCATATGTCAGGCCATACAGCAAATCTCAATTAATTTAAAAGGACTGAAATCATGTAAAGTATGTTCTTGGACTACAATGGATGAAATTAAAAGTCAATAACAGAAAGAAGTTTGGGAAATTCACAAGTTTGGGGACTTAACACACTCCTGGATAAACAGTCACAGAATAAATCACAAGGGTAATTAGAAAATACTTTGAGCCCGGCTGGGCATTCCTGAGCAGTTGAGCGTTGACCTAGGATCCAGGTGATCGGGGTTCGATTCCTGGTCAGGGCACATGCCCAGACTGCGGGCTCAATCCCCAGTTGGGGGCGTGCAGGAGGCAGCCGATCAATGACTCTCTCATCATTGATGTTTCTGTCTCTCTCTCCCTCTCCCTTCCTCTCTCTGAAATCAATAAAGATATATTGAAAAAAAGAAAAAGAAAAAGAAAATACTTTGAGACAAATGTAAATGAAAATACAACATACCAAAATTTGTGGGATGCAGCAAAAGCAGTGCTTAGAGGCAAATTTATAGTTGTAAATGCCTCTATTAAAAACGAAGAAAGATCTCAAATCAATAACCAACTAATCAAATCAATATGAGCAACTCCCTATTGGGGAAACATGCCCTTGATCACCCTAGAGTAAATGATCTATATCTACATAAATGACAGATGATTAAATTGATATGTGAATAAAAGTATCATCCCTTTTAAATGATAAAATACAGTAAATTTAAAAATCTACTGATATAAACACTATAACAATGTATTAGAAGCTGGGAAATTAAGTAATTGCCCATAAGATCAACATTCTAGCATAATACAGTAGTCACTTAGATAGCTTCTCTCCAGTCTTTTTCTTTGGGTTTACATATGGGATAAATACAACAAAATTGCTAACAATATGGGATTTGGGGCCATGAAGACTTGGTCTCATTGCCCTCTACCTTTGCAATTTTCAGCTCTATGTCTCTATTTCTTCATTTCACTGAAAGCAGAAAATAGCATTTTCCTCATAGGCTACTTGTGAAGAATTAGGGAGATGTATTTTGAAAATTATATCCAGGCACAACTCCTGGAATGGGGTAAATTTAAGTACTTAGTAAATGGGAATTGGTTTCCTATCTTTTCCAGTTTACATTGGCTATATAAGTACTTTTATGTTGTTTTGCAGCCTTCAGAAACAAGATGATTTATTTCTCATAGTCTTTGACTTATCATGATTTCATAACCTTTTCCTTTTGCCAGAAGACAGAGGACATATTTATTGTTTTCCATAGAACTAAACTTAAAAACACACACCAACAACTTCTCCAAATGTCTTCACTGTGGTTTGCTGGACATTTTTTTTTGTCCTCGATTTTGAAATATCCCATTTTGACCCAATTACAGAAGCTCTGTTCACTTTCTTTGAAGGAAATGTTTTTGTGCTGAGATTTTCCACTTTATAATGAAGCCAAAATTCTTTCAAATCGTGATGCTTTTTTTCTCCTGCTCCCCACTTGGTTAAGATAAAGATGGGTTCAGCAGTGGTTCTGAACTGCATCAAGGTTTTATTCATTTGTTTTTCTGCCTGGCAAAGTTGTTGTTCTAGACCCTGGTTACAGCCTGTGTGGGGTTAAAGCGCTGTTGAGGGTAACAGTGAGGAGCCATTAAGCTGATTGTGGTAGCTGCTGTAAAAGCCTCTCCACAGCAAACACACAGAAGCTACCTGGATGGTTTCGGGGTGGG